TCAGTAGTGATGGGGTTGTAGGTGGTGGAGTTGGAGAGTAAAGTGGGATGCTGTAGGTTTGGAGGGACTAGAATCATTGGGAGAGGGTTAACATCACTGAGGTTGGAGCCCGTGTCGAAGCCACCAAGGGGAATCACGAAGATAAGGTTTACGACGAAAGCCCCTTGGTGACCCCGAGATCGAGGAAAAAAAGGAATTGGTCTTTAGGAGGAAGAAAATGGCTTTGACACTGTTGATATCAATTATCAAAGAGGGGGTTATTTGAGAGTTTGTGGAGTGATTAGGGTCCTCTAACTCCTTCTGATGAGTGGTTCTGGGGCTTGCTGTTCTTTCCTGCACATGAAAAAACTAGTAAGAGGTTGGAGTTTGGTTCTCCGGTTGTTTCTCCGACGATCAAGTCAGTAAATTATCTTGAGTGGGAAAGTATAATGTTAGTTCTTAGTTACGTAAAAAAGGGCAAAGAACTACCTCATGCAGTGCCGCTCCTTTAATAATGGGTTTGCAGGACAAGAAGGTAACTTGGGTCGGGTTTAGCTAGGCAGCTGAGTTGGCAGACATGTGTCATGTGTCAGTTGCTGTAGGAGGTGAGTCACCTGATTATTTATTGTGGGAATGATAGCAGTGCTTGGTGCTGACTGGGTTCGATTTGTCGTAAAGACTATGGGGGATAGAGTAATGATGATGTTGTCAAGGCAGTTAATGCGAGAGTAATCCATTGGCGATGGGTTTGAGGTAACTGTCGTCCTTCAACTCGCCAGGTACAAGGCCTAAAAGTATTGCCTTTTGATTCAGTTGCCTTTTGATTCAGTTACGCGAGATGTCGGCTGAAGAATTGTGCTGCCCACAATATAAGAATTCATCATTCAAGGGCTGCAGGTATTGTGGTTAGGTTGATGACAACAAAAGTTCATAGGTGAAAATGTTAGAAAGAATCAATTTGTTGCGGAAAAAGTTGGATGAAGAATTGCTCTCAGTGAAGATCTTTTTGGTTGTATTAGGAGTTTTGAATTTATATAAAATGTTAGTTGTTAGTCAGAGTTTATAGGTTGTAAGCAATGGAAATGAATGTATTTTAGCTCCCTTAGGCAAAACTGTAATTACACAATCCTAGCTACTGTTTGAGCGGTTATGCTAACAGGTGGAGGGAGCTATCATGATGATTTTAAAGAGAGTGATGTCAAAATATGGGTGAATTTGAGGGCGGAATGTCTAAACAACCGATTAAAAAGCGGTGTTTGTTGCTGTCGCGTGCCGGCGATCGTTTCGCCCTGAACTGCTGTCCTCCTTCGCAAAGTTCGGAGCCTCAGGACCCTCCATCTCGCCCTCCCCATCCTCTATTTATAGCCCCTCTCCCGCTCCTCCTCCTCATCCTCCTCTCTCCTTCTCGCCCTCGCCTCGGTCGCCTCTCGTCTCGCCCCCCTCCTAAAGGTAACAAATCCCATCGTCCTTCTCTCTCTATCGCCATTTCTAGGGTTTCGTCTTCAACATTGTAGATGCTCGATCCGTTTCATATCTTGATGTTTCACGCTCGTGTGAGCGTGAAGCTAGGGATCTGACGTCGAGATCAATGATTGATCGGTTTAAATTTGAACTTTCTTACGTGTAAAATCTTTGAAGCTTGAATTCTAACTTGATTTTCTTGTTTGATTGGCGAACAAGGGTGTAACATCCCACGTGAGTTGACAGTGACATTTCCAAAGAAAATATAGTCCCACATCGGTGTGAAAGAAAGAGATGTTAGAGGCTTTATATAGTAAAGCTAAAGACTCAAGTGTAACATCGACTAGTCGATTTTGGCAGTGGTTTGAGCCAAACAGAGCGTTACACTCGGTGGGTCCTATGGCTTGCACGCGACAACGGGGCCCCGGGTTCGGAGCGTGACAAGATGGTATCAGAGCCTAGGTTTCAACGATAGAAGCCTTATAGGGCACGTTAGCATAGTGTATATGCGCTAGATGAGTGTTATCTTTATGTGATATATATGCATGTATAAATACGTATATACATGTTTGCATATAAAAATTTCATAGTAAGGCCTTTTAGGTTTGTTAAGGAGTGGTTTGATGTTTATTTTATTTCACTTTGTTCTTCTACTTTAGTGAGCTGGTAGATGGTTCCCCTTTTTGTAGGATGACGGGAACCAATTTATCTTCCAGTTCATCATCTACCCCGTCCAGCTCTATGATTTCTGTAGATAGCTCCTGGGAACCCAGCTTAAGAGACTGGGGATATACTTCTGATGAAACTGACCCAAGCTTGATAGTAACTAACCATATGATCCCAGACTCATTAGAGGTTGAGCCTGTAGAAGTTATTATGGTAGATTCATCAGAATCCGTGGTAGATCATGCTGAGGACGAGGATATAGCAGTAGAAGTTATTCCAGTTGATTCATTACCTTCAGAAATCATTATAATTTTATCCGACCCCTCTGATATGGAGTCACTTGTAGCCCAGATTCCTAGTGATGACCAAGGACTTGCCCCCTCTGAGGTTGAGTCGAATACCCTGGGGATTGGTCCAGACCTCGATCTGGAAGGATGGGGGACTTCTGACATTGATCCTGACCCCATGTCAGACTCCGACCATAGCCAGGACACAGAAGAGACTGAGCCGACCGAGGAGTCTAGCTCCAGCAGCTCCTCTTCTTTGAGGAAATAGAGTATAACTGTTAGGACAATTTTGTAATATCAGTATATGGGTTTTAGTAGTCACTCTTTTGCTATATGTAGAACATTTTGGTAAAAAATATGTATATATGTAAACCCATATACTCAGATATATGTATGGACTAAAAAGTTAAATATTAATAATATACTTTTGGTTTGTAAATACTGATTTGTGTTATAATGTTGAGTAATGATTGAATTCATAATTGCTTAAATTGCATATATGTGGCTGACTTAGAAATTATTTCTTATATAATAATTGACCCAAACATTTTATTATTTATAGGAAGATATGGCTTCAGGTAATGAGCAAACCTCTCCTAACGGAGATAAGGATCTAAATCAGACAATAGGTGAAATGATGAGATCTAGAATTGCTCGTGCATCCACCTCCGAAAACTCAATAGATAATAATGCATTGATGGATTTGCTGCAAGCGGTGACATCTGTAGTCACCAGACAACAAGATCAAATTGATCGTAATCGGACAAATGATCAAAACGAGGAGCACTCAAAATTAAGAAGTGACATGAGAGAATTCAAGAAACTATCTCCACCCAGTTTTGAGGGAACAATTGATCCTATGATTGCTGAGCATTGGATCACAGAAATGAAAAAGATCTTCACATACATGAGATGCCCTGAAGAGGAGAAAGTTGATTATGCGGTGTACGTGTTAAAAGATCGTGCTTACGGGTGGTGGCAAATACAGGTCAGGACCTTGGGTGAGAATGCATACAAGATATCATAGGAGGAATTTAAAAAGATTTTTTATGAAAAGTATTTTTCTTCAACTGTTCGCAAACAAAATGAACAAGAGTTTCAAAAATTGGAGCAAAGTAATAAGACAATAGCTGAATATGAAGAAGAGTTTACTTATTTATCAATATTTGCCACTCACTTGTTAGGTAAGGAGGAGGATAGAGCATGTCACTTCGAAGAAAGGCTTCGACCGGACATTCGGAAGGCGATCAGTGCATTTGAACTCCCTACATATGGAGAAATATTAAAGAAGTCCTTGTTAATTGAGAAAAATAAAATTGATACAAAACCAAAGAATGAGACGAGCAGCTCCTACCTAAAGAAGCGGTTCTGGCAAGATAATCACGATGGAAGAAATAAAAATTGGAGAAACAAAAAGCAGAATTTTGGACACAGAGAGGAGCAATTTTCTAACCAGAAAACTTTGAGATGTGATGTTTGTCATAAACCTGGGCATGAAGCGAAAAACTGTTGGAGAAATATTGGAGCTTGTTTGAGATGTGATCAGAAGGATCACAAAATAGCAAATTGCCCCCCTACAACAACCATCTAGGAATACTTTCCAGACTGGCCAGTCCAGTGGTGGAAACAAGCATCCTCAAGCCAATGTCCGGGTTTATTCTCTGACTGAGAAGGAAGCATAAGCAAACAAAGATGTGGTGACAGGTACGCTAACTTTTACGTCGGTTCATGCTCGAGTACTATTTGATTCTGATGCATCACATTCCTTTATTGCTGCACAATTTGTTAAGAAAAACAAATTACCATGTGATACCCTACAACAAAAATTGCTTATTAGTACATCTGGGGGTAGCATATTAGTATCAAATCAAGGTTGTAGGGGTAAAATTTATATTCTCGACAAGGAATTCCTCGTAGAATTAATGATGCTAGAAATGCATGATTTCGATATCATATTGGGGATGGATTGGTTATCCTTAAATCATGCTTTTATTTTATGTCTAGAAAAGAAAGTAGTATTCAAATTTCCTGGCCAACCCGAATTTTGTTATGAGGGTGGTAACTCTCAAGAATCCTTAAAAATCATCTCAGCCCTTAAAGCACATCGAGCACTGAGGAGTGGATGTATGAGTTATTTGGCTTTAGTTGAGATGGTTGATGATGGAAAACCAAGCTTGGAAGAAATACCAATTGTTCGAGAATTTCCAGAGGTATTCTCAGATGAACTTCTAGGAATGCCCCTAGATAGAGAGATTGAATTTTCAATTGACCAAGTACCTGGTACGAATCCTATTTCTAAGGCTTCTTATCGAATGTCACCTGCTGAATTGAGAGAACTCAAGATACGACTGCAAGAAAGCTAGCATTCAGATGACACCATATGAACTTCTTTATGGAAGGAAGTACATGTCTCCTATTCATTGGGATGATGTTGGAGAAAGGAAACTTCTTGGACCAGAATTGGTACAATAAGCAATTGATAGAATTCAATTAGTTCAAGAACGTCTTCGCATAACACAAAGTCATCAGAAGAGTTATGCTGACCAAAGAAGAAGAGAATTGGAATTCCAAGTGGGTGATCATGTTTTCTTGAAGGTTTCGCCTACCCGAGGAGTGAAAAGATTCGGAATTCAAGGGAAGTTAAGCCCGATATTTGTTGGTTCTTTTGAAATTCTGGAACGTATTGTTCCAGTGGTGTACATATTAGCATTACCATCATCCTTGTCTGGAGTACATGATGTATTTCACATATCGATGCTTCGGAAGTTCATCCGAGATCCAAATAAGATCGTTGAGTTATCTCCAGTGGAGCTTAAGCCAGACTTGACCTATGAGAAAAGACCAGAACGTATTGTGGATTTTAAAGAACAAGTACTTAGACACCAAATAATCAAATATGTGAAAGTTCAGTGGACGAATCACTCTGAAAGAGAAGCTACTTGGGAGACGGAAGATTCTATGCGAGAGATATCCAGAGCTCTTTCGAGATATAGGTATGTTAAGTTTCGAGGAAGAAACTTTTTATTAGGAGGGAAGAGTGCAGTAACCTAAATAATTAGTGCTTTTAATTACAGATTAGAGATCTAATTATTGGTTTTTTGGGATTTCATCCCTAACTCCTGATTATCTGCCACGTTAGTGTTTAGTGGCTAAAATCCATTCGACGAATTGGCCGGCACCTCCTTAACGAAAGAATAAAACAGAGAAATCAAAGAAAACCATAGAAAAAAAAATAAGGAATTTTTTTTGGAAAATATCCTCTCATCCTCAACCAAACCCTCTGAGAACTAGATAAGGATTGTGAAGAGAGAAAAGAAGAAGAAGAAGAAAGGGAAGAAGTTGGGGGAAAGAAAAAAGGGGAAACAAAGGTATAATTTATCTCTCGTTAATGTTCTTTTATTTTAAAAATTGATGGGAGTAATTGTTCTTTGAATTGTTAAGAGGAAAAAAATGAAAGAAAACTTACTTGACTGACGACGACTCCACTCGCCGGAGGGGGGTTCTCCTCGGGTGACCGCTCCGACGACGGGGCTTGAGCAGCCGCGCCATCTTGGCACCACAGAGAGAGGAAGAGAGAGAGGGAGAGAGAGAGAGAGAGAAGAGAGAAGAAAACAGAAGAAAAAAAAAGAAAAGAGGAAGATGAAGAATCGGAGCTGGAGATTAGATAAAGGGAGGGAAAATTTTTTATTCACCCTTACATTACAAACTAATTTCACATAAGCCCACCTAGCTCATTTAATACAAGTCATGGCTAGGAAAAATTCCCTTAAGCCCCTGAACCATATAAAAATTTCGAAACAGATCTTAGTAATATAAGTTATAGTTGAAAAAAGATTGAAAAATCTCTGTTAGGCCCCTGTTATTTACTCAATTTGCAAATAAGTCCAATCTGAGGAATAAACAATAACTTTTAGACTTGATAAATTCCCTATAACCCCCTACATTATCATAAATTACTAGAAAGTTCGAAAGCTAGGATACGAGAGTTATAAAATTTTGATAAATTGCTAAAGTTAACAATAAGCTCATATGTACTGTAGAATTTAATTATTATTGATTATATCTGAATTTATTAGGCTCTAAATTATGAATTGATTTACCTATAATATATGTTTGTCTTGAGTTAATAATTAGTCCTATATCTTATATTATAGGATCTGGTTGATATCAAGGGGACTAATATTTTGGAATAATCATGTCCACTAGAGGTGAGTTCATTTCTCACTAGTATTTTATAATATAAAATTGCATGAATATTATATTTGATTTAGGATCCTGTCTGGTTCTTTGGGGTTTTGGCTGCAGTATTCTCTCCTTATAAATACCTAACAACCCCATCTTCCTCAGGACCAAGCTTTCATTGCAAATTACTTGAGTTTAAGTTTATTGTTTTCAAAAGAGCTTCATCTTTCATTTGCTTTCACTATTTCTAAGTTCACATCCCAAACTTCAATTGCAATCTCTCCTCTTGCCATATAATATAAAATTGCATGAATATTATATTTGATTTATCTTGTAATCGAAAAATAATATATCATTTTCATGTGTATAAAGATTTGATCTACCTTTGTTGTGGCGTAAACCATAAATATGATATTGTTTCGTACAATATATGAAAAATCAATTTGATTTTATACGAACTATGAAAAGCGAATTGGCTCTCATGTAGTTACAACTAATTGTAGGTATTGCTTTATCTAAAAGTTTTTGATGAAGTATTTTAAACATATTTCAACAATTTAATCGATTTAAAGATTTTCTGTGACTTGGTATCTGATTAAAAAAATTTGTAAACTGTCTTAACTGGAATAAGAAGTTTTACCTTGTCAACTTCATTTTAAAATATCTGTAAATTCTGAGATACAAAGTATTACTCATTGGACATGTGATCTCGATGTTTTCAAACCCTTAAATAGTCCACTATGGATTGTTTCTGCCTGCCATATGGTGAATGCACTTTTATTTGGCCCTTCTGTGTTGGCCCTTCTGAAATTTATTCTGCTCTCTTTGTATTTGGCCAGTAACCTATGGTAGTGTTAGGTACATTCGATTCCCGAGAATTATCTGTCATGTGATGCGGTTTACGCATTCCCTTGCTACTGGGCTATAATTCGTAGCTTTAGTGTGAACTATGAGGTGATTTTTATATTCATGAATAACTCATCGAGAATTAATATTTTGATAATTGACTGTGAAATTGAGAAAATAATAATTCTCTGGTTTGTACAAATTAGTAGTTTTTTTTCGTCTTAATGTTTACCTTGAGTCAAGAAGGGTGTGATTTCAAGAAACTTCACAGTATATTCAGTTGCACATAAAAAAGAAATTATAATTGTTGCATTATTTCTTAAAGACGATAATATTATGATATTTGGATCGTAATTTGCTATCTTTGAATTTCTCATGCAAAACTTGTAATTCATTATTTCTGAGAATTATTCTTATTACTATTTTGTTAGTTATCTAGGAACTCTAGTGGGAAATGTTCTCACTGAGCGTTAGCTCACCCCGTTGTTTTTAATTTTTTTTCCAGATCCGGTGTAGCTTCATATTAGCCGAACTTTTGGTTTGAGCTTTTGGCTGAGAGGCATTATATGGAGAGCCTCTTCTTTTTGATGTTACCAGCAGCACAATTTGTTTTGTTTTATTTATAACGGTGAGCTTGTGGGCTGTAAGTACCGATTATATACATATATAGTTGCTCTGACTTCTATCATCAGCAGGTTTATGAATATTTTGTGATAAACTATGTGATATGAAGTACCAGGCTTGACCTGTGCATAAGAATTATCTCGTGCACGGGTCGCTGCTATCACGTAACCCACATTTATATATTTTCGCTGTAGTTTCGGGGCGTGACAAAGAGTATTGCATTAGATTTTGTTTTGGCATTGTTGTTTGATCATTAAAGATTATGTAAGCACAAACAACAATAATACCGGAAGATTCTGAAATGATGCGGCGACACCAGTGGTTTTACTAATTTGCTCGAAATTTTATGAAATTATTTGTCCTTGTTTATGCGTAGGGTTAGCTGTAAGATACTAACCGTAAGAAGTGAATGCGATCGCGAGCTTTTAGAATCAAACTAATTGTTTACATGGAGAGCTCACCAATCATCTTCTCTGCTAACCATTTGGCAAAATAAAATATGTTATTTCTATAAAACTTTCATTTATCTAATGATCATCTTCTGTGTATTATCTATGCCCTCGCAGAATATTTAACGATAGATGATAATGGGAAGATACATACTCATAAGAAACTCTGCAAACTCTGCACACAAATGAGGTTGTGGGAGTTTTTTTGACAAGTACATCGCTGAGCCAGTTGATGGCATTACTGATTTGTCGATCAATCATTCGGATCGATCTTTGGCTTTGGTTGGTCTGTTCTTCTTCTTTTACGCTACATTACACTAGTTATCTTTTGCGGCGTATATGTCACGCCCCGGACCCGCGGGCCCATTGGCGCGTGCAAACCGTATGACTCATGGAGTGTAACGTTCTATTTGGCTCAAACCATTGCCAAAATCGACTAGCCGATGTTACACTTGAGTATTTAGCTTTACTATATAAAGCCTCTAACATCTCTTTCTTTCACCGATGTGGGACTATATTTTCTTTGGAAATGTCACTGTCAACTCACGTGGGATGTTACATTCACCCCACCTTACAAAGGCGACGTCCTCGTCACAGCATGACAATTAGCACATCCCAGTATCATCGCCAGGCGATGTGGACTCTAGAGATGGCTCCTACGGGTTCTAGAGGTGACTCCTACGGGTTCTAGAGATGTCTCCTACGGGTTCTAGAGGTAGCTCCCACCGCATCACACGGTGTAGCACTAAGCTCCGCATAGCACTTACCTTCATACTTTCGGCTAGCAACTGCTCTAATACCATCTTACTGTCACGCCCCGAAACTGCAGCGAAAATTTACAAATGCGGGTTACGTGATAGCAGCGACCCGTGCACGAGACAATTCTTTTGCACGGGTCAAGCTTGGTACTTCATATCACATAATTTAACACAAAATATTCATAAACCTGCTGATGATAGAAGTCAGAGCAACTATATATGTATATAATCGGTACTTACAGCCCACAAGCTCACCATTATAAACAAAACAAAACAAATTGTGCTGTTGGTAACATCAAAAAGAAGAGGATCTCTATATAACGCCTCTCAGCCAAAAGCCCAAACCAAAAGTTCGGCTAATATGAAGCTACGTCGGATCTGAATTTTTTTTTAAAAACAACGGGGTGAGCTAGCGTTCAGTGAGAATATTTTTCACTAGAGTTCCTTGATAACTAACAAAATAGTAATAAGAATAATTCTCAGAAACAACGAATTACAAGTTTTGCATGAGAAATTCAAAGATAGCAAAATACGATCCAACTATCATAATATTATCATCTTTAAGAAAGAATGCAACAATTATATTTTCTTTCTTATGTGCAACTGAATATACTGTGAAGTTTCTTATGCAACAATTATATTTTCTTTCTTATGTGCAACTGAATATACTGTGAAGTTTCTTGAAATCACACCCTTCTTGACTCAAGGTAAACATTAATGTGCAACTGAATATACTGTGAAGTTTCTTGAAATCACACCCTTCTTGACTCAAGGTAAACATTAAGACGGAAAAGAACTACTAATTTGTACAAATCATAGAATTATTATTTTCTCAATTTCACAATCAGTTATCAAAATTTTAATTCTCGATGAGTTATTCATGAATGTAAAAGTCACCTCATAGTTCACACTAAAGCTACGAATTATAGCCCAGTAGCAAGGGAATGCGTAAACCGTATCACATGACAGATAATTCTCGGGAATTGAATGCACCTAACACTACCATAGGTTACTGGCCAAATACAAAGAGATCAGAATAAATTTCAGAAGGGCCAACACAGAAGGGCCAATACAGAAGGGATAACACAGAGGGGCCAAATAAAAGTGCATTCACCATATGGCAGGCAGAAACAATCCATAGTGGACTATTTGAGGGTTTGAAAACATCGAGATCACATGTCTAATGAGTAATACTTTGCATCTCAGAATTTACAGATATTTTCAAATGAAGTTGACAAGGTAAAACTTCTTATCCTAGTTAAGACAGTTTACGAATTTTTTTTAATCAGATACCAAGTCATAGAAAATCTTTGAATCCGTTAAACTGTTGAAATATGTTCAAAATACTTCATCAAAAACTTTTAGATAAAGCAATGTCTACAATTAGTTGTAACTGCATGAGAGCTAATTCGCTTTTCATAGTTCGTATAAAATCAAATTGATTTTTTATATCTTGTACGAAACAATATCATATTTATGGTTTACGCCACAACAAAGGTAGATCAAATCTTTATATACATGAAAATGATATATTATTTTTTGATTACAAGATAAATCAAATATAATATTCATACAATTTTATATTATAAAATACTAGTGAGAAATGAACTCACCTCTAGTGGACATGATTATCCCAAAATATTAGTCCCCTTGATATCAACCAGATCCTATAATATAAGATATAGGACTAATTATTAACTTAAGACAAACATATATTATAGGTAAATCAATTCATAATCTAGAGCCTAATAAATTCAGATATAATCAATAATAATTAAATTCTACAGTATATATGAGCTTATTGTTAACTTTAGCAATTTATCAAAATTTTATAACTCTTGTATCCTAACTTTCGAACTTCCTAGTAATTTATGATAATGTAGGGGGTTATAGGGAATTTATCAAGTTTAAAAGTTATTGTTTATTCCTCAGATTGGACTTATTTGCAAATTGAGTAAATAACAAGGGCCTAACAGAGATTTTTCAATCCTTTTTCAACTATAACTTATATTACTAAGATCTGTTTCGAAATTTTTATATGGTTCAAGGGCTTAAGATGATTTTTTCTAGCCACGACTTGTATTAAATGAGCTAGATGAGCTTATGTGAAATTAGTTTGTAATGTAAGGGTGAATAAAAAATTTTCCCTCCCCTTATCTAATCTCTGGCTCTGATTCTCCATCTTCCTCTTTTCTTTTCTTTTTTCTTCTGTTTTCTTCTCCTCTCTCTCTCTCTCTCTCTCTCCCCCTCTCCGTGGTGCCAAGGTGGCGCGGCTGCTCAAGCCCCGTCGTCGGAGCGGTCACCCGAGGAGAACCCCCCTCCTTCGAGTGGAGTCGCCGCCGGTCAGGTAAGTTTTCTTTTATTTTTTTTCCTCTTAACAATTCAAAGAACAATTACTCCCATCAATTTTTAAAATAAAAGAAGATTAACGAGAGATGAATTATACCTTTGTTTCCCCCTTTTTCTTTCCCCCATCTTCTTCCCTTTCTTCTTCTTCTTCTTCTTCTTCTTCTTCTTCTTTTCTATCTTCACAATCCTTATCTAGTTCTCAGAGGGTTTGGTTGAGGATGAGAGGATATTTTCCAAAAAAAAAAATTTCCTTGTTTTTTTATTATGGTTTTCTTTGATTTCTCTGTTTTATTCTTCCGTTAAGGAGGTGCCGGCCAATTCGTCGAATGGATTTTAGCCACTAAACATTAACGTGACAGATAATCAGGAGTTAGGGGTGAAATCTCAAAAAACCATTAATTAGTTCTCTAATCTGTAATTAAGAAAAAATTCCATTAATCAAGTTTTAAGACACTAATTATTTAGGCTACTACAGTTTAACTATTGCATGATTGGTTGAAATGTTCTACCTTTTAGTATACAGTTGAAGGCTAGCATTAGAAATTCCATTTTTCCAAAATCATTGAACTTATTCTATTGAACCGGTTGCGCATAGAAGGCTTTTCCGGCTACAGGACAATGTAACTCTTGTTTGAAAATATAAGCTAAAGTTTCTCGTCGTTTGCTGTATTATGTGAAGAATGTGTGTTTCTTAGTGTCATACATGCTGGCGGACATCTCTTAGGACCGAGCTGGACATTTAAAAAAATTTACATCATTTTTGGTGTCCCGTACATCTTATAATGTGAAAGAAAAGAATGCATAAGTTACTGTACTCGTAAAATTAGGAGCTGTCATGGATGCTTTAGAGGCTTGGACGCAAATGATTTGTCCTATTATTCAATCTCCACCATCAGGTTCTTTATTCAGGAGCAGAAAGAAGTAGCGTTCTTCTGAAAGAATCAATTTAAAGGAGAGAAATGAATTTGGATAAATGATGATATAGATTGAAGAAATTGAAGAAAATTGAAAAATTGTTGGTGCGAATTGAAGAAATATCATTTTTGTTCCAACAAAATGCAGGGAGCCAGAAAGAGCAACGAAACAATCTTCTAGCACCATTTTACAGTATTATTGTAGATACTGAACACAGAACTTCTACCATGTTGAGAGCAGAAAGTAAATGTTAATGCTAAAGCCTTGCTGAAAGTATTTAAACAACAAAAAAGAATCAGTGAAACCGCACAAAAACAAAAATAGGAATGACAAAGCCTTTAGTCAAATTTTGGGTTGCTTTTTCCCACCTTTTCCTTTATCAGTACAAGGTCACATACGCTGCTAAGTAACACTACTACATTCTTCGTCACTGCCTCTATGGCTCTATCCATTCCAGTTTTGGTCTATGTCTACGCAAAAAGCAGCAACAAAGCCTTCATTGCAATATTTTGGGTTCTGCTATGATTGTTTCTTTTGCCCTCACTCTGATCTGTTCAGGGAGTTTCTCTTTAGAAGAAACTACTGTCTCCATTCATGGTTGTTTTGGACTATCCATATTCCTACCTGTTCTTCTAACTACGATTCTGTGTTCCTTTCAACTCTGTTGAACATGTTCAAAAATGGTAAAGAAATTGTATTAATAGAACTTTGTGCTTGTCATTCTCTTGACTCCGGTAGTCTAACAAGTGGTCAGTACAGAATCTAACAGTAACTGTCTGTTGGAAACTAAATCAACCAGGTCTTTCTTAATCCCACAAACTTATAAATGGAGCTAAAATGCCAATGTTTTATTTAATTCTGATTTTGTCACCTTCTAGACTTTCTGCTGTGGCATATTTCAGTCTGAGATTTCTGCACATTACAATTTCCCATCTAGAAAACTAAAGAAAAAGAGAAAAAGGAAATGAACAACCCTGTTTTGCAGTATAACTATGTTAAATAATTATGAAGAAGAGAGTCAAGAGACAATGAGTACCTCTTTTTGTTATATTATGAGAAGAAGATAATTAAGTTCTTTTATCAGTTAAAGTTAATAGTTGAGTGGTAGGTCTTACTTAAATAGATTAAAATCTTAATTTCGAAGTTCAAAATTAGATAGCGTAACCATCAATCTCTTCTTTACAAATCTAAATAAAAATTTATGATTTTTAAAAAGTAGAAACCAACTTGGATTTCAATATCCCGAGATCTCAATCAATGCTCATGTTTATTTCGCTTGAGATTTGGACACGAATGTGATTGAGACTTTCTTCTAATCCCCAAAATGGGTAGTAGAAGGTTCCAATATCCCTTAATATTCAGGACATAGGACTTCCCATGACCATTATACGCCCCCTCCTAACGCATTCTCCACACCAATATATCATAGGATTATAATATAATATGTTGAATTAGAGGTCCATTTGTAATTTTAGAATTTTTGAGTGTTGTTTGTAAAGTTTTGAGGGTAATTTGTAATTTTCAAAACTTTGAAGGAAATGGTTGTAAAGTTATCAAAGGGCTGTTTTCTAAAGTTTTCATGGGGTTATTTGTAATTTACAAACAATTTTGTGGGTGTTTTGTAAATTCTTTGGGGGTGTTTTAATTTTGGAAACATTCACGGGGTTGTTTGTAGTACTGTTAATGAGTTATCTGTAATATTTTAAAATTTTCAGCATAGTTTTTATTACTTCAGCAACTTTCATGGGCTAGTTGAAAATTTTTCAAATGGTTGTTTGTAAAATTTTCAAAGGGATATTTTCAATTTTTAAACCTTTTAAGGGGCTGATTGTAAAATGTTTAGGGGTTTGTTTGTTAAACTTTAGGGGGCCGTTTATAATTTTTGAACTTTAAGAGGGATGTTCATAGTTTTTCAGATTTTCTAGGATTGTTTGTAATTTATGGATTTTAAAGGGATGATTTTTATTTTTATTTTTCAATTTTATGGTGCTATTTGTAATTCTCAGGTTTCCCAAGGATTTATTTATAATTTTTAAATTTTAAGGGATTTCTTGCAACTTTGATGGGGTTATTTGTAATTTTTAGATTTTTCGTGGGGAGTTTGTAATTTTTTAAAATTTCAACGGGTCGCTTGTAAAATTTAGGGAGTTGATTGCAATATTTTCAAAATTTTTAAGAAGGTATTCATTAATTTCACAATTTTCATGGGGCTACTTGTAAATTTTTCAAAGGTCTGTTTGTAAAATTTTAAAGTCGATACTTGTAGCAAAAACCCCTCGGGGGGCTGAGATCGAGATAGAGTGAGAAGTTTGCTAGGATTAAGAAGTTGGTTTTGATACCTTGTAGAAAAAGAGAAATGACAGTTATTATTTCATCTAACCCGAACCTCTATTAAATATAGATCAGGAGGATATTACAAAATAGGTGTGAGATATAGTCACATCTAACAATATATACTAATACCTAATGATATCTAATAGTATCTATCAATCCTTAATGTGAATACTAGTTTCAGCAATGATGTCATAACTTATACTCTTCAGAGCATGACTGGGATAAAAATAATGGAAAGCCAACTGAAGAGGATAGGAGCGTTTAACACAAACGACTCCATCAACGCATAACCACATTTTGACAGAAGTTTTAAGATTTGTAAGTTCTTTTATTATGTCATAAAAATAGGTAAATCATGATGTTAGCCCATTCTATTTTAATTTTGAAATCATTTTTATAGCTTACTTTGTAAAATATTATAAATTTTGACTATCATTTTAGCATGGGCCAATCATGGAGATGAAATAAGCATGTGATACTCAGAGACTCCAGCTCTAAAAGGAGATCTTGTCAGATAAGTTTCTAGAAGTTCTCTTTGGTTTATCTTTGACGAGTTTTTTAGTGTTAATCGTGGAATGGCAGTACCTAGAATAAATTAGATTTTTCTCCCTTAAACATAATGGTGGTCTTTTTTATTTTCTTTCTTTTGCTCAATGTTTATATTCTAGTTCATCTTCTCCATTTAACATACCGATGGAGTTATTCTTTTCCCTACCGTCGTATTGTGAAGTTAATTTGGGCTTTTGTTTATCACTTGTGAAGTTAATTTGGGCTTTTGTTTATCAGCATAGGTACTCTCTAAAGGATGTTATTCCACAATATGTTGATTGAGGGGATGCTGTTTGCATCAAATAAGCCATAAATATTTCAAAAGGGATTGGCTAGTGTGACCTTTTCATATTCTGACCAGTGTGCAAAGAAGCACAACCGTACAATTGAACAATGGAAGCATACATGGTACAGTGCAACTTGGGCAGTGATTTGCTGCAGACGTGAATGCAGCATGCAGATGTCAATAATCCCTTATCACATCCAGGTTAAGAGTATTACATTAATGACATGTTATTGACATCCAAGATTAGATCAACTGAATGGGGGAAAAGGATTTAAAAAAAAAAAACAAAGGCTTTCAAAAAATCAGCAATTACCAGGACATATCAACCTTTTGGTTCTTATCTTAGCATAACCAGTTGGAATATCTATCTGCAAAGGACAGTGGGAAAACTTCTGAATCTGACCAGAAACCTAAATTCATAGCGAATAGGTATCAATTTGGGTTGTTGTACATACTCCGATCACAGATAGCAAGTATGTAAGGTTGGAAAACCTTGTAATATCAAAGGATGAGATTTACAAAGCCCTAAATCTAAACTTTATCCATCATCTGACAATAAGAGATGCATAATTCTCTTGTCGCTGTAATTGAAGCCTTCTGGTGTATTTGTTTGGCCTGATCTGGATAGCAGGTATGGAAACACATCTGTCAGTAAGCACCCTGAGATTCATGTTTGCACAATCAATTGGTGTTTGGTCAAGGAAATGTGTATGCATCAACAATTAGGTCATCCTGTCTAAGCTGATAAAATAACAACAAAGGTTCCTGAACTGGTTTTGGCGATTTGAAACTGGCCTGGAAAAATCTTTATCTCAGGCGGCAGCTAGTTACTCACAACTCCTGCTGTTGCCGTGCATATTTATGAAGGCTAATATATGTTGATCACCAGCAACTGGTGAAACCCAAAGATTTCTTGTTATGGAATGAGGCAATCTAGAGGAGTTGGACCAATGTACCTTGAGTCAGAATTTTAAGCTTGATGTCTTAATTTAAGGGTGTAGTCTCATCCTGGCCATCAACAAGTGGTCAGATTACTAATGTATGATGATGGTAGATCATAGAAAAACTGGGAGTTGTTGGTTTATGTTGCATTGATAGTTGATGTTTCTTGCCTTGACGGGGGCTGTGGCAGTAACAAGCATAGTGATATAGAGTTGACTGGAAATTTTATTGGATGATTATCAAACAATCACACACGCGCGCGTGCACACACACTCACTCACTCACTCACACACGCGCACGCACACACACAAAAGAGAGAGGAGGGCTCCTAAGTTTTGTTGCTACAAGTAGCATTTCATGATGAAACATCTAAATTGGTCTAAATGAATTAAGGCCCAAATTCAATTCCTAGATCAAATATTCAAAAATGCGGATTTGCATCATTTCCAGAAATGTACAATTCCCAAATATGAATCATGTTATGTTAATGGAATTGTGTTCTTTGATCAAACAAAATAACTTCCTCATGAATTTGTTTGTGTGTGGATGGAAAAAGCTTGAATATGATGAATGCGAACTAGGAAGCACTAACGAAATGTTAAGTGAATATATTCAGTGAATTCGTGATATCAGTGGCCTTTTCCAATTCAGTCCAATTCCAACCTTACTTACCATGTGTAACTGCTAAGAAAAGAGAATGGTGCATGATGTGGGTAAATGGCAAGAGAGATCATGGAAATGGGAAAAGTTAGCAGAGTAGTGAACTAAAGCCTCTTGTGCATGGTATATTTGATGGTTGTCTGAAAGGGTCTTATTGCCAAATTCGTTGATGAACTTCTTTGGCTTTAGGGTTGACACCTGCCTGACTTTTTCGAGGCTGCTTGTCCTTTGTTTGCGGTTGGTAGTAATACCAGTAGAGCTACAGATAAAGTGCCTGCTATTACTTTCACCTTTACTTGTTAGTTATGAGGTTAAGCTTAATGCAAAAGGTCAACTTAAGAGTCATTCATGTCTCCGTATTAGGGAATTTTAGTGTAAATGTGGTTGAAATTAAAAGGTACATTGCTTTCCAATTTCAAATTTCTAAAGAAAGAGTTGGACAAAGCCAAAACCAGGATCCAAAGAACCTATCTATTTCTACTTTATCCTATTCTTCAACGTCTTCCTTCATCGACAATTAGTTACTTAATTAGTTGTTAAGTACGTTTGTAGTTTCATATAGTTATAATACATTTATGCCTTGTTAAATTAGCTTCTTAAATATGCTTGAAATGTTTAACAGTAATAAGTACCTCCTTGGCTTAAAGATGATTATTTGAAAATTTATCTTTTTTCCCAGGCACGGAAATTGCACTATACAATGTATTTTAAAAGATGGATGGAATGCACTAGCTCGATATTACTTAAACAACCTTATAGATGTGATCAAGCAGGTCTGTGAAATGATTTTATTTTCATTTGGGAGTGTTGCTTGCACTTTTTTCATTGTTAATATTGATTATGATTTAGAACAAAATTAGTTTTAGCATATTTTGCGACCTTACAATTATTTCTTAAAATGGAGGTTTTCATGCTGACAAGTTGTCATATAAAGATAAAACTGAGGATACTTATTTCATGAAACATATGATACTCTACTAGTGTTTATGACTAACATTAAAATTTGGAATTAAGAGTATAATATCGTAGGTTACTTCTCATCCCTCACCTTACACTCTTAAGCAGAACTGTAGTAGGTATTTCGTGAGATTGACTTGTGTATCAGGTAAAACTTTTTATTGAGTGTAACTCTAACTGCCTATGTTGAAAAGAACTAATCAGATTCCTGGGTATGCAAGATGATGCGAACAAAAGAGGTAATTCCAAGTTTATTGCATCTTCCTAGAAGTGCTCCTTGAAATATAATAGTCCCTAAATTTTTATGGTTTTCACTGTTGCTTAAATAAAGTCCATTCATTGTGACTTGTGAATCTTGTTCAAGTATTGGAATCTGATTGGTTAAGATTCTTGTGTTTGTTAGTTTCCTCTTGTTATTATATTACTTGATTTATGGATTTCTAGAAGTTTATGAATCTTGTTTGTGAATGTTGATCAGAATCTGATTGGTTAAGATTCTTATGCTGGTTAGTTTCCTCTTATGTTCATGAATCTTGTTCAAGTATTGGAATCTGATGTAATTCTGTGAATCTTGTTAGTTTCCTCTTATGTTCGTGAATCTTGTTCAAGTATTGGAATGTGATGTAATTCCTTGAAGTTTATTGCATCTTTAGAATTTTATGGTTTTCATCATTGCTTAAATAAAGTCCATTCATTGTGACTTGTGAACCTTGTTCAAGTATTGGAATCTGATTGGTTAAGGTTCTTATGATTGTTAGTTTCCTCTTGTTATTATATTACTTGATTTATTGATTTCTATATTCTCTTTTTTTCTCATCTTCAGTTGAATGTGAAATTTTTGTAGTCGTCACAAATTTGTTACTGTTGCATTGGTTCTAAGGATGCTATTGATCTGCTACAAGGGCACTACATTTTATCTGTCAGTCGAGATATGACTTTGCCAGCCCAACCAGGAGGTTTAGAAGCATATGCTTTAAGTATACAGTACATTATATTATTAATTTATATATCTATGCCAACAAAGATGATACATCTTATAGTTTGCTTATTCAATACTGACATTGAGCTGTTTGACTCAGTTGAATTATTTACATTTCAATTTTTAGATAATGAATGTGATAACTTTTATGTTTATAAGGGATTGTGTTTGTTTTTGCAAATAGTGACTGTGGTTGACCAATGACGAGTTTTTCATGGTACAGAAGGCTATTAGTTTCAGGAGGTGTTTAATGTCTTTCAGCATTTACCATCATAGAAAGCATGGTTCCGAGACTTGTAAACACTGCTATATCCAAAAATGAAAATTTTGGTTCAAGTTGTTCCAATAAAAAAATATATTCTACTTTTCTCAATTACTTCATCTCACAGAGAAATATCTCTGCCGGTTTAAATTTTAAAAGGTTGCATTAATTTATCAAAATCATTTTGCACCTTCCCATCATTAACGTCATCTTCCTCTCTTCTGTAGTCAGCTGTTTATTCCTCATGTTTTCAACATTCATGGCAACAAAATTCTGTACCTTGTGAAGTTGAGGGCCTTCATGTGACCAGAAGCTTCTTGACATTTGGCTATTACTGGTTCCAGAATTAGACTGGAGAGGTTGTTCCTTTTAATCTGTTAGAAGTGAATGGTAGATTATAGTGTAAATAAGAGAGGAGAATAAGAGCAGGGGTTTTTTTTAGATACAGATTTTTGTTTTCTCTTGCTTTGTGTTGAATGTTCTTAAATACTTTGGGGATCATAACTGTCGAAGGTTCCCGTGACAACGCACACCCGCCATCCCCCATATAAGAAAGGGACCATAATGGAATGTGTTATGTTCTTTTTCCTAGTAGTTCTTTCCCTAATCAGTTGATTACCTAAATTGAAGCAGTGGGATGGTTAATCACGTTGACATGTCTTGGCAGATACACACATCACATGCCATTGGAACCATAATCATGCTTAGACAGTCTTCTTTCCTTATAGGTCGCATACAAGCAAGATAGCTTGATAGAGTAGCACATTTGGTTTAGCTTTTTTCCTTTTGAACAATCTCCAATCTTATAGGATTTCTTCCACTAAACTTTGACAGAATATGAGAGAAATACATCCTTCCATTATCTACTTGTCAAAATTAGTCTATTCTCTTTCCTATATATTTTTTTCAATTCCAGAAGCATGTTACATCTTTAGGTTTGATGAAAATGATAGTCTTCTTCACTAAAACTTGAGGGCATGGTTTGTTTTATCTACTGTATATAAAATTGGATTCAGCACTCATGTTGGGTGGCTTTATGTTTGCAACAATGTCACTGAGACAAGGTGCGTAACCTGCAACGGGTTAATTATCTGCTCCTAAGATAGAAGTTATGTTTCTATTAACCATTAACAACTTCCATTCATTGATTACTTATAACTTAGTTAAAGATGATGCCCCAGTTTCATATGATCATGTGACAAAATCTCATTGAGTTTAAAACCTAAAAAATTTAGAAGACATTGGTGATGGTGCACATATAAAGACATCAAGATTATTGTTCCACTCAAGCGAACATTTCTTGCATAAATATCACTTTTCTGTGACTTTATTTCTTTACAATATAATTACAGTCCATATTTATCCATGAGTAATCATATTTTTCTTCCATCAGGAATTGCTGAGGGACAAATGAACACCTTCTACTTGAAACACCTAACCAATCTTGTTCACGAGAGTGTGTCCTTCTGATAATTAAGTAATAAAATTATGAGGTGAACATGTAGCTCCTGATATTACATGCTGGATTTCTGTAAAAGAAGGTAATGTTGAATGGAAAATGGATATATAGTAACTTATATAATTTCCAAATTATATTTTGTATCTTGAAAGGTTCTTTCACATTGATTAAGTTGCTCAGTATCTACAAACCATGTAGAACTTAATCTGTAAACATTGAATTAATATAACCTGACTTTAAGAAAGTTGCATGGATAAATAAAAAACTAGCAAGGGATGGACAAAGGTACAGCAAATATTAATGCCTTGAGATGAAGCTTTTAGTATGCTGGTCACTACCAATATGCAGGTGGTCAGTTTGAAAACTAAAATAGTTGATTCTACAGCCCTCAGTGTTTATACCTTGAAAGGGGTCAATTGATGAAAAGATGAATTGACGAGCATTTATACTGTAGGCGTAACTTAGAGAAGAGAATGAAAGAGCTTTTTATCACCAGCACCTCTCTAATTTACTCTTGGAAAACATTTGGCTAGAGGACAGCCTTGCAAACAAAGGGTTAACCGCACAATAATCACTCTATCGGCGACTTAGAAAACTTAAAACATAGTCCTACTATTATTATCTTGAATACTCCCATTTTGAGGAATTCCATTCGGTAGATGACCAAACCAATTGGCTGGAGACTCATCCGCCAAATGCACTTGCTCTTCATAAAATAGAATGATCAGATCTGCTGGCCTCTTGGTCGTCTAGACCAGTTGCTGGTTTGTCATCAGATCGACAAGTATGGGTTGATGTAAGGCTGTTTTCTCTTCTTCTTTTGGACACCTTAAATTAAGTCAAAGACCAATGACTTAAGAGCTATTTCGATGACCACTTTAAAGATCTTTTAGGGATTCACAAACATTCCTTATAGAAAGATCTAATCGTATCTTTTAAAGAGATTTTTTTTTATATCTCATTGTATACTATCAAAAAGAGTTTTGCATAAGGATTCATAATGCAAATATAAGAGAATAAAGGTAAGAGATGTATTTATCCATCAGGGTTTCTTCTCCATTTGCTCCCTCAGAGCTAGAGGTGTAATTTTGATGTTCTTATGTTTTATACTCTTTCAAGTTCATTAGTGATTCTTCTACTTGTCCGTGGGCATCAGTCAGTAGTGCCAACCAAGCTCCATTGTTATATTATTTTCCTTGTTTTTGATCTGTGCATTATCTACTACACTTGCCGTTGTCACTTCAGAATTCTCTATACTTCCACTGCTTACTCCACCTGCAACATACACATATCTAAGTTATTGTTGAGCAACTAGTGTTTGTGCTCTTGCATGCCTTGTTTACTAATTACAACAACATTATTTTTTTATGTTTCCCGCCTAAATATCTAGTATGTACCTTATATATGGTACCTTCTTTCATAAAATTTGTTTACCTTGATTTGTTTTTTCTTACAATATTTAATGTGTTATGTACCTTATACTACTTTTTTACATTAACTTTCTCTGTCTGAACAATTTTTCAAAACAGACCCCTTTAGAGTTTTATTTTTCAAAATCAACCGATTTTTTTTATTTATCAAAATCGACCCGATTTTGTGATTAGCAGCCTAATCACCATCCTAAATAGTCGGGGTTGCCAACCCCGACTATTTAGGAGGGTATTAAACCCTAATTAGAGGCCTTAAACACTAAAAATTAAGGTCCTAAATAGTTGGGGTTGCCAACCCCGACTATTTAGGAAGGTGATTAGCCGGTTAATCACAAAATCGGGTCGGTTTTGATAAATAAAAAAAACCTGTCGATTTTGAAAAAAAAAACTCTAAATGGGGCTGTTTTGAAAAATTGTTCTTCTCTGTCTTGATTTATTTTTACATAAACATTCTTGGCTAGGGATTCAATACAACTTTATAGCATCTCGAAGTGACAAATTTTTTTTATCGAGTTTTGTTACTTCATATCTGACTCTTCCCCCCCCCCCCCCCCTCTCTTTCCTTTCAATCCAAAAAAGAAAAAATGAGGCAAATGAGGAGGAAGAAGAAAAACAAAGGTTATAGCTCATCTGAAACTTTGAAAACGGCTATAATGCTTCCGTAAACCTTAGAGCTAGTTCCTGGGATATGTGCTATATGTGAACATCAGTTGCCACAATGTCTTGCGTCTATTTTACAGAAGAGAACAGATTAGATAAAATTTCAATTCGAAATGCAGTTGTTTTTATAGACAGTCATGCATTATATAGTTTTGAACTTTAAGTGTAGGATGTAGACAAAAAGCACAGCCGTATGCATAAAAAAGTTACAAAATTCAGATTTGTTGTGTAAAGATAACACAGGCAGGTATCATCACTTATGTTTTTTCCCCTTCCTATACAGCATTAATTAATTAGTTCATAGCAATGTGTTTCTCATAAAGTGAGTGTGTGTCTTGGTGTACATGCAAGATAATATTTATCTCGGCTTCTTGCGGTGGTCAACAGTTACATGCTTTGATTTGTTTTTATAATTTATGAAAGAAACCCACGGATTCTGTGTTGTTAAAGGAAGTCACAACTTTATGATTACAAGGAAGTTGTATCATGCCAAGAATTGTAATCAGATATATATTGTCTAACATGCTGTATTGCTCCTGCAGCTAGATACGATCCCCGCCGTCCACTGCTATCGATGGTGTGGTCGGGCCTCAGTTTGGAAGTAGCAGCATTTGTGAAAGCCAATGGGCGGAAGTTCCACAACCGACCCCGTCTTTTCAAATCACGCCATCGAAAAGAAAAAAAGAAAAGAAAAAAAAGTAAATGGCTCTAGTATTTGTAATCAAATGGATCATTAAGCAATTATACAATTATTGGTATACCCTTATCAGCTTAGTTAATTTTAGTAGAGCATTCTTTTGTTCATAAGATTTTTGTTTTCATATTCGATTGGATTGATTGTTTACATTCCCAGGGATAATTTAATAAAAAAAGACCTTATTTTTTCTTTTTCGTTTTCGGATTCAACTATTCATTTGATGTATTGGTGACTTAATGGTTCAACCCCTTTTAGGTTGTGTTGGGACCTGAAAAGAAAGAGTTATCGTTTCCAATTTGTTCTCCCCGTTCAAAAATGGGGCTTTGGGAGAGATTTGCAAATCATTTGTAAGTTATCTGAAGTGTTTACCTTTTAAGTTCAAAAAGGTTTCTTCAATAAGATATAATTTAGAAAAAAAGACGTCAAAAATTTCATACCATGCATTTTCATCAGAACCTTTTATTCTCAACTCAGGATTGAAGTTTTGAAACTAGTGAGATAACCTTTTTTAACGTCCTACTGTTATTGGTCTCGACTTCTGTTTGAGTTTTTGGGAGTTCGTCGTACGCTGCTCTCGTGTTAACATAGTGGAAAATTCTTCTTCTCGCTTGTTGATGCAATGTTCGGATTGCGGTCAAACCACATTATTTTTCTTAGATTTTCATTATGATTGATTGGTGTAGTTTTACCCTCCAGTTGGATGCTGTTTTCTTCCAACAGCGACGAGTGGAGGATTTAAATGTATGCCTACGTTAGAGACTCCATGAACGATACTGTTATCACAAACACCAGCTGGGATTTTTTTTTATGCGTTCCCCTTTGTTATTTGATATACTCTAAAATATTCAGTGCGTACGGCTCATTGTTTCTTCGGTTTACGGAGTGTTTTTTTGCCCCCTCGCATCCTCGAAAATTTTGAAGCGTCGAATGATTTCCTCATCTCTTTATTTCTTGTGCTACATATGATTATTCTGCAATGCTTTCGACATCAAGTGATTAACTCGATGGACTAGGAAAAGTTTGCCTCCTCTTTACGCAATCTGATGTGAGGATAGTTTCTGAACCAATTAAAATAACGGCGAAAAAGATCGAGTCTAGTTTCACATTTCAAAGTGGTGAAGGAATCCCTTTATGAATCTTATACGGGCAAGATGAGGTACGGGAAGTGACTATGAGTTATGAATCATTGATTGCTGCTTTGTTTATTGCATGCCTGCTTTGTTTTGATGACACCCTATTGAATTTAGAGGGATGCTACAGGCACATCTCCGGCCACATCACCAGCCACACCCCCTCACCCCCCCCCCCACTTGAAATTTTTTTTAAAAAATTTCAAGTGGGGCCCCCTACACTGTAGCAGGTGAGGGGTGTGACTGGTGGTGTGGTCGGAGGTGTGTCTATAGCATTTTTTTTGAATTTAATTAGCAGCAGACAGCAGCGGAGCCTTTTTGGGCTCGCCCATTACCCTCCCCTTTGTGCGCTAAAAGTGTACACGTCTGCACACGTGTTTGTGATTTACCTAGAAGGTTCCTCTTCGTGACAACAAAAACCAAAGCTGCACGATATTGCTATTTATTATGAGAATAGTTAAAGATTAATTAAGGTGAATGTCAAGATCGAGCAGTGATGATGATGCTAAAATTGAAGTTGAAAAAAATGAAGTGCAGCTGGTAGGTACGGAGTAGAATATGTGTTGTGCACAAGTCTTGGAGATGTTGTACACGTGACGTAAGTTGCCAATTTGGGCCTGGGGCGCCTCAGGTTTTGTGTGAACTGTTGCCCTCCGATTGGGAAACATGACGGACTTCTGGTGACGGTAACAGTTTCTTCATTTTCTTTATTAATTGCTGCTTTCTTATGATATATATATAGACTAATGAAACTAATGAAAATAGTCCTCTTGCTGAGTTTTTTTAAAAAAAATTAAAAGCACTGTTTAGGAGGTTGACGTGCAATTTTCTCTTTTGCGTTCTTTTTGTGTGTGGAAAATTGTGCGGTTTAAGTAACAGCCTCGAGAAATCTCAAGCAAGATGATGCTGGTTCTCATGCGGGCTTTGACGTTTCAATTAATACCTACTGTTGAATAAGAATCGTTGGTCGTACTAGATTTTTTGATTTTGGACTTCTTTCTTTTGCTTTGAATTTCTTTACCATAGGTTCAAAGGAAAAGAGGATCTCCCTCCTTCTCCTTCAAAATATATATTTCAAGAAGCTATTGATTTTTATTTATCTATTTATTATTTTTTTTCCAGGTGGTTTTTCTCATAGCCTTTCTTGGTCATCTCTCCTGCGCATCACGTCATTCATGAGTTGAACTATATATAAGCCGGACAAGCGCTTATATATTAACATCATTATTTTTTAAAAAATATATATATAACATCGAGAAAGAGTCTTCAGTCATGATAAGCAACAGGCAGCAGGCCTACACACAGATATTCATACAGACACGAGAGTGCGTATGATTACATACCATGAATCAGCATAACTGCGTACTTGCGAGTGTCACGAGGAAAAGGAGACGGCACTTTTGCGCATTGGTTTGTTTATTAGGATTGGATTAGCCTAAATTTTAAGAGATTCAACAAAGATTCGATCGATTCATGAATAGGCTTAACGTTGTAAATGATGGACCTAGGTCATTAATATTCAAATATTGGACGCTTAAGAGGAAATATTTGAGTTTTTGCTCAACATGTATAAAGATTATAAAATCTTTTGGGCTTCACAAACTGATTCTATATATATGCAGCCACCAAGTTGTGGTCGGAGCTGGGGACCGTGCGAGTCCAGACAAGGCATGGGAAAAGGCCTGAAATCGCGTAGGAGGCGGTTCTTCTTGTGGCTTCGTAGGCGTAGCCATCTCTTTAACCAACTGGGTAAAATGCATGAGATCGATTGACCCGGCCTGCGAAATGCCCCGTTTAATGGCGGTCCTATAATGCTATTAGGGATTGCAAGTGCGCGCTCAGCGGATTTGGGCGTCCCCCGTACGACCGGAGTATCTCACTGCTGCTTTTCTTCTCTTTGAACTTGTTTCAGTGAGCCGACCGCGATACGAGTGAAAGAGTGGGGGGTGGTGGTGAGTGGGCTTCAAACTCAGCGTTTGGGAAAGCTGCACAAAGTATTTGGTGTTGGCACAATGAGCGCACACACGTCGTGTTGAAGAATGATTCAAAGTTGACTTAGTCTTTAGTTGTTATTTTGTTAGTGGAGTAGTGACTAATAAATCTGAAATTACTTTAGATTTTTATGATGATTAAGTTGTTTTGTAAGCCTATATAAAGGCACTTTTAGTTGATGAATAATATAGAAAAAATTATCTTCTCATCTACTCTCTAATTTCCAACATGGTATCAGAGCTCCAGTTTTCTTGGGTTTGTGAGGATTTAAAAGAAAATAGAGTGATCAATCTTTGTTTTTTAATGGCATCCAACAATTTTTCGCTTCCATACCCCATCCTCAATGGAGACAATTATCAATCTTGGGCTATCAAGATGAAATCTCATTTGAAAGCTTTGAGTTTATGGGAGGTTGTTGAGAGTGACTATGAGCCGACCCCTCTTCCACAAAATCCAACCCTAAACCAAAACAAGAAGCACGACGAAGAAAAAGCGAAGAAGCCAAAAGCCCTCTCTTGTATTCATTCGGTCGTGTCGGACGGAATCTTCACAAGTATAATGACTTGTGAATCACCTAAGGAGGCATGGAGAGATTGAGACAAGTGCTCTATCAATATTTGTGGAGAGATGTGCTCCTTTAAGAGAATGTTGGTGATTATGTGCGTCAACAAGTTTGAGATGAGAAGTGCATCACAAAGTGAAGAGAAGTGCTTTACAAGATTATGGAGAGAAGTGCTCTATGAAGATTCAAAAGGAATGACAAGAAACTTTGAATCAAGGGGGAGTGTTGAAGAATGATTCAAAGTTGACTTAGTCTTTAGTTGTTATTTTGTTAGTGGAGTAGTGGCTAATAAATCTGAAATTAGTTTAGATTTTTATGATGATTAAGTTGTTTTGTAAGCCTATATAAAGGCACTTTTAGTTGATGAATAATATAGAAAAAATTATCTTCTCATCTACTCTCTAATTTCCAACACTTCGGTCCACGTACTTGGAGATCCGAGTAACCTAGTCGAAGTGATGTGGCAACGAGCTCGTAGGATTTCTACGGATACCGATCCGCTGAGAACCGAAAAAAAACACGATCTATAAGCGTAATGGTTTCGGTTCAGCCAGCTTGGAACCTCCCTCCTCAGCCGGTGTCGGGAGCTTGCTTCAGGATGATCGATAAGTTGGCTTGGGTTAAGCGCTATTTGGCTTCACGGGCTGTTTGAGCATTATCGATCTGTGCTTGACTTGGAACTGTGGGCTAACTTTTTAGAGCTTGGCTTGGGAGCGGCGGTATCTATATATATATGGATCGTGCTGGAAATTTGATTCTTGAGGATGCGGTGGATGTTTATTCAAAATGTTACAGATGATAGTCCTCGATCACCATAACATCATCGCTAGGATTCGATCAGGACCTTCTATGAAAGCCATGACATGCAAAAGTGCGACGTACATAAGAGTACCGGTTATCGAATCAATCAAGCGGCAGAAGACCTTCTTGCAAAATTAGGGATCAACTGGGATCTTGGATGTGCATTTCTCGATGAAATGCAGTATGGGATCGATTTACTAGTTCCCTTGATCAAGACATTTTTGCACCAGAATTAATGGTCTCGGATAGTGTCATCTGACGAAGATCTTCTGTATGCAATTATGCACTGAAATAAATGAGAGAACGCAACACCCTGAAGAGCAACAACAGAAACAAAATTTGTTTCCCTTCCTTTCTTTATTTCAGCCTAGGGCCTCTTTTATTCACTTTTTGATGTTGTTGCCTTCACTCTCATAAAAAAGTGTCTTCTGTGTTCGTTTTGCCAAACAACAACAGGCATACCTCTTTTATAAAAAACATAATTACTGTTTAATTAATAAATTTTTTATGATTACAATTTTACTACTATTTGTATATTTCAATATATAAACATTAAATATAATAGAAAATTTTTCCAAACATTCAATATATATAAATATTAAATTATTTAATATTTTTATTATTTAACATATTAAATATTAATTATATTTAATATTACCTATTTTCTATATTTCTCATGTAATATTTAAATAAATATTAAATATCAATGTAGATAAATATTAAGTATATATTTAATATTTAATAAACTATTTATATATTTAAAATATGATAAATAATTAATACATTTAATATCAAATATATTAGACTATTAAATGTATAATACTAATTATTAAAGTGAATTAAACAATAACTAAAGTGAGAGAAGGTGTACTTAGGGGTAGTTGAGAGTGAATTAAATAATGGAGATGCGAGATTTATGATTTTTCTCCACTATTAAGTTTCTTATTTCTTTCGTCCATCCCAACAATAGAACAAGATGAGAACTCATTTTCACCCTTGTTGATGTAAATGTACGTGAAAGGAGGGGGGACTATATATAAGAAATCTATGGAACTTATTAGTGGAAATAGTATTTTTGCGTGGATATAGGTTTTCTACAATTACGGTTTACGAACCAAACACGCCGTAATTAAGAAGATCTCTCCCATATCACATCAGGACCTAAACTTTGTAGAACCTGCTTTTATCTTTTAAATACGCTGATTAGATTATTATTGCTCCAACCCTAAAAAAAACCCCAACTAATTATTTCCATCCATTTAAACATCAAGGATTCCCGAACCCATAAGTTCAGTGCTACGAAGGGCCCAGTTTCGTCACACGGGATCTCACTTTTAGTTTTTTTTTTTTTTTTTGCCAATTAATTTGTAGCCCATTCGCTGTCTGGTCGCCCCATTTGAGATCACTTTGTGATTTCATAATTATTTGAGGAGCTTTGCTACAGGGACCCAAAATATGGGACCAATAAAGGGGACAAGTGAGGTGTCCCCCATCTATTGGATAATAAGTTGGCCATCATTAATGATGGCCAACTCATTATCCAATAGGAAGAGGACACCTCACTTGTCCCCTCTATTGGTCCCATATTTTGGGTCCTTAAAGAATTTTTCATATTTGAGAGGAAGTGACATCACCGATCACCCGTACTTACCTTCATAAATCCAAAAAGGTGGATATATGTGGGAGCTTGACTTTTACACTAGCATGTCATCCTGGGACCCATGTCGAAGTTTTGATATAGCAGTTCAAATATGCGGGTCGGATTCGGTGGACCATTTTGTAATTAATATGCGGCCTAGCGAATCTGAGGGTCTTTTAGGGCAGAAGTAGCTCTTGTCTCAGGTTTTTTGCAACAAAATTCAAAATTTTAACATATTTATTTATGGCTATTTTCCTAGAAACCACCTTTGTAATTATAAAGAAACCATTTTTTAATTTTAGTTTATACAAAACCATCTTTAAAGTGGGTTTATGTTATGATCAACCCCCTTTGAGTTTCAAATTTTTCACTAAAAATCCAAAAATACCATTAAAAACTCACATTTAATGCATGTGACTCATTTTTTAAATGCTTAATTCTTGTGAAGATACTAGTTCTGTATCTTAAATATAAAATTTAAGCTTATTTTTTTGTTTTTAGTAAAAATTTAACTGGGAGGAGGTTGATTACAACACAAATCCACTTTAAAAGTCGTTTACGTACATAAATTAAAATTCAAAGATGGTTTATGTATAATTGCCTTATTTTAAAGGTGGTGCTTCCGGAAAAAAATACCCTTTATTTATTTATATATTGTTGAAACTTCAAAGGTTTATCATGAAAAAGAAACAATTTGAAATTAAAAAAATTGTTGTGCTCAAGTTGCAAGTGTTTTGACAACATGGTCTAATGAATACTAATTAAGTGTTTAGGTTTAGGGTTATCTGTTGAGCTGGTTTATTTGGAAAAGAAAGAAACAATGGAGTTTTTAGCCATTTGAGCACTAGTTCATCGCAAGTATATATCTAACACATTTAGGTGTTATGAGGACTCTTAAGTTTGAGAAGGATGATTAGTTAAATACCTTTTGTATCTCATTGAAGTTCTTGAATATATCGAATGTGAGAAAAAATAGTAGTATCATATTATTATCTATGTTATGAAACCACTATTATAAATTTCTAACTCCGTCATTGGTCTAACTTCAACTTCTTTTGTTTGTGGCTTTCTTTTCTTGTAATTTCGTGAGTTGGTTTGTTAAAGTCTTATACTCTAGTGAATGTGATGCGTGCTTGATACAAAAATATGAAGACTTTTCTCCCCTACTTGCAAGAATTCTATGAGAATTCTATGATGTAGAGAGTTGTGAATTTAGTTACATGTTTAATTGCTCTGGAAAATAATGAATCTTTACAACATGAGTTAGCTACTATGATGATGTAGGGAGTTTTGTAGAGTTATTGTCCTTACCTAGGGATCCCTTTAAGACCTGGAAGGCTAAAAAAAGAAGATTGGTTTCCTTTAACCAATAAAATAGAGAAAAGATTATCTTTATGGAAAGGAAAATCCTTATCAAGAGGAGGCAGATTGGTGCTGGTTAATTCTGTCCTTTCATCTATGCCAATTTTTTGGCTATCTTTCTTTTTATTTCCATCTTGGGTGATTGATAAAATTGATAAAATGAGAAGGAGATTTTTATGGACTGGATCTTCTGATTTTAAGAGTTGCTCAAATTTGGTTAAATGGGAAGAAATTTGTAAACCAAAATTCTGTGGAGGTCTGGGTATTAAGAATTTAAAAATTATGAATAAAGCCCTTTTGGGTAAATGGCTCTGGAAATTGGTGGATGGGAAAGATAGTCTGTGGAAGCAAGTTAGTGGTCATTGTCATTTTGAAAAAAGACCTTGGGCTTGGTTTTTAAAAGCTGATAGATCGAATTTATCTCATTTCTGGAAAAATCTTTTTAATGTTACTGACTGTTTTTTGTGCAGTTCACAGGTTGTGGTAGGGAATGGGGACCAAACTTTATTTTGGTTAGATAAATGGGTAGGATCTTCTACCCTTGCTTCTATGTTTCCATCCTTATTTTCCCTCTCTTCATCACCTTCTGCTTTCATTAGTAGTTTGAGATTTAAGGAGAATAGTATTTGGAGATGGGAGATACATTTTAGAATCCAGTTAACTGGAGACTTGGTGTTTCAGTATTTCAATATGTTGAACATCATTAATTCTGTTTCTTTTAATGATTATGAAGACAAAAGAGAATGGTTATGGGAAGCTAATAAATTTTTTTCAGTGAAGTCTTTTTATCACTTCCTTATTGATGGGGGTCTAAGATTTGATTGTTCAAACTTATGGGAGCTTACTATTCCTTTAAAGGTCAAATTTGTTGTTTGGCTGGCTCTAAGAAATGGTTTGAATACTACAGATATTTTAGCTAAAAAGGGAATTATCTTGCAGAGAACATGTTGTTTGTGTACTAAATCAGATGAAGATCATTCTCATTTGTTCCTGAAATGTGAGTTTGTGTACTCTATTTGGAGATCACTTCAATTCAAGTTGAATACTGACAAAGATTTTAGTTTGTCTTCTGTGAAAGAAGTTTGGATACAGTGGACTAGTGGATACAAGGGAGACTCTAATTTGAAGAGAAGAGTTTTCATTTGCTCTCTTATATGGTGTCTTTGGCAGGAGCGTAATGACAGAATATTTTCTGATAAGAAGAAGAGCTCTCTTACCCTCTTGAACAAAATTGTAACTTTCTCAACATTTTGGCTAGGATCTGAGGGGATCTCTGCTCGTGCCGCCAGATTACAAGCAAGAAGAAGAAAAAGAGCTGCTGCTGCTAAAGGTGTTGATTTTGGGAGCAAGGACACGGCTACAGTGATTCAATTGGAATGATCTGTTCATATTCACTGGAGTTGCTCTTGGTTTTGTTGGATAGAAGCTCTGTTCTTCTGTTTTGTTTTTTTGGTTCTTCTGACAAACTTGTTATATCAGTTTTTTGGGGGAGGTTATGTCCGTTTTTCAGTTGTTTACGGGGGGTAGGGGTATACTATTTGTAGTACCCTCTTTTGAACTCTAGCGCATACTCTTGGTTGGGAGTATGGGCTTTTTGTAACAACCACTTTATCTTTTAATTTAGCTGGCTGGAATACCTTTGGGGTATTCCATCCTTATTCTCAAAAATTTTATTTAAAAATTGAGGGTACGTTTGGGTTTTTTGAAAATGAAGCTCAAAGGCTCAAAAGTATACAAGTAATAGACAGATTAATGGGACACGGAGGAGAGGCACTCACCATTTCATTTATTAAAAAAAGGGTGTTTCGACAGACAGAAGTTAAAACTACCTGCAATTCAGACACCAAGGATCTGATCATGCTGTTTAAGAAAGCAATTTGGGCCTAATAAGACTCTGTTCTGCAGCATCTACCGAATCACAGCTCTCTTAGATAACGTGTACCATGTCAACACGTGTACATGAATCTTCTGATATAAATGAATTCTGACGGCAACTATTTTTCAACTATTAATTAAAAAAATTTGATAATCAAAGTCATTTACCTTTTTTTTTTTAATAACCCGAACTGGGGAATGGGGATCATGTTTAAGAATCCCATATCGAGTCCGTGACTATGATAAGATTCTCGCTCGTGTGGGCCCGCACGAGCGAGACGGTTGAGTCTGAGTCACGTCACGTTGCGATCTTTAAACTCGGAGTAAATTAATCAGTTGCCTGCGTCACGAATCAAGTTTTTAATGTCTTGAAGCAAACCTCTCGAACGATTCAGCGTCTTATTTTTTTAGGGTAACTTAAAACAAATTAATGAAAGCTTGATCCAAACTAAGTGGGTTACTATATGGGGGGACCACGTTGAATTAGTTGAGAGGACCGCTAGAATCGCTAAAATCGAATCATTAGGGTTTGTGTATTAAGATGGATCACCAATGTGCATGATTTGTTTAAAAATGAATGTGAATCCCGTGGAGAAGTAAATGCCAGAATATTATTACACAATATAATGCTGAGGCAGAATATAGGACAATGTCTAACACATTTATGACGCTCAAATGACGGTGTGAATTGCTTGATGGAAAAGCACTGTATCTACAGTAATCACCAACTCGCTACAGTCATCACCAACTGCAAAAGCACTAAATAGTACTGTAGTAACAGTGCGCACCTACCGTAAACTCACCTATATATAGCTCTCCCTAGCGTTAAGTTATGATCATCCTAGTGTCTCCAGTTAAGAGTGAAAAGAAAGAGAGAGGGAGAGAGAAAGAGAGAAAAATAGAGAGAGTTTCTCATTGAAAAGAGAATTTTCCTCATGATGGATTCTTCTATTATTGTCCGTGGTTTCTATCAGATTTTATTATCAAGCCGAGGCTTTATCGCTGACGAGAGGAAGATCAACGTGTTTGGGGGAAAATTAAAAGAAGAAAATAGAGAATTGAATTTGTTTTATTCTCTCTAACAGACTTAGAAAAAGAATGAATTACAATTCTCTAAGACAATTTCTCTCTGACAAACTTAGAAAAAGAAATTACAATTCCTCTCAATCGGTTTCCCGATTTACAAAAGAGAGAAGGGATCGACGGAGACCCTTCCCTTTGTTTAACCTGGATTCTTCTTGGTGTCGATGGGAGTTCAGATCCTTGTATCCGAACGCTTCACCTCGTGGAATACGATATCTTTCTCTCGATTGACGTTGAGGAGAACTTGCGTGGAAAGTGTGAAACTCTTAATGAGTTAAAGAACTCAGAGCGAGTTGAAAACTCTTTGAAAGAGTTAATTTGATTTAACTGAAATCGGTTTACATCCAAAGATGAAGAAAAGCTCCAAAGATCTCTGTTGCCGAGAAATGATCCTAAAAATCTCCAAGGGTGAATGTCGATCTCTCCAATATCCGAAAGTGCTCCAAGATCCCAAAAGACCCCCCCACCCCCCCACCCCCCACCCAATCCGAAGATCTAAAAAAAGATCTTTTTTAAGCTGATTTTCAGCTATTTATAAGAGATTAAGGGATGTAACCGCCCCCTTAAATCACTCCATAATAGGGGCGTGATCCCCTCAAATCGTGCAAAAATGATTCTGGAACCGTTCAGGTGTGTTTGAACGAGTCAAGCGCTGATCTAGCATTCTTGCGTGGACTCTGAGTCTGAAGACTGGGACGCAGAGTCGATCTCTGTGGTGATGGCTAGAAACGCAGTGGTCACACTGCATTTTGAATCTGAAATGTAGAGGTGAACTCTGCGTTTTAAATTGAAAAGATTGTTGATTTGTAATCTCTTTTATCGAAGTATTACGAAGACTATTGTTTTGTAATCTTCGATTGAGCTCCTTGAAATGTGGGAGTCGTCAGATTGTAACTTCTGATGTTGATTATGAAGACTATTGAATTAGAGCTTTTATCGGTTATCGTGAATGTCGTCAAATTGTAATATTTTTTGATCAGGTCAAGGAAAGACTCAAAGACTGTACTTGTTTAGGTAGAAAATAATCCAAATTTTTCTGAAGCAATACCGCAGCATGATGTACAAGAATCAGTCGAGTCCGAGGCTCCAGAAGTTCGAAGATCAAGTCGTGAGAGAAGACCACTGACTTGACACTCGGAGTATATTACGAAGAGTAATGTTATATACTATCTTCTAACAGAGGATGGAGAGCCATCAACTTTTCATGAAGCTATAAATATCACGGATGCATCTTTGTGGATGACAGTAATGCATGAAGAAATTGAAGTTCTCCATAAGAATAAGACTTAGGTACTTGTGTCACTACCACAATGAAGAAAGATCATTGGAAATAAATTAGTCTATAAGATCAAGCGAAATGATGATGATCAAGTGGAGCGATATCGTGCTAGATTGGTGATAAAAGGATATGCTAAAAAAGAAGGTATTGACTTTAATGAAATATTTTTTTCTTGTAGTTTGACTTACAACAGTCCAAATAGTCCTGACTATGAGTGCTATATTTGACATACATCAAGAGCAGCTAGATATGAAAACAGCATTTTTTCATGGAGATCTTGAAGAAGAAATTTACATGTTCCAACCAGAAGCTTTTGAAGAAAAATAAAAAGAGAACTTAGTTTGGAGATTAAACAAATCTCGATACGGTCTAAAGCAGGCGCTGAGGTGTTGGTACGAGTGATTTGATTCATTTATCATGAGCCTTGGATATAACAGACTTAATTCAAATCCTTGTGCATATTTCAAGAGGTTTGGTAAAAATAATTTTGTTATCTTATTGTTGTATGTTGATGACATGTTGGTTGCAGACTCTAACAAAGATCGGATCAAAGAATTAAAGGTATAGTTGGCTAGAAAATTTAAAATGAAAGATTTAGGATCTACAAACAAGATTCTAATGATGCGAATTTACCGAGATAAAATTAATAGGAAGATTTGGATTTCTTAGAAGAGTTATTTGAAGAAAATCTTGTAGAACTTTAATATGCAAGATTATAAGTCAATTTCTATCCACTTCTTATTAATTTCAAGTTATCCTCCATTATGAGTCCAAGCAGTGAAGAAGAGAGGATGAAGATGTCTCGACTACCGTATGCATCAGCAATGTAAAGTTTAATGTTCACTATGATTTGTATAAGACTAAATATTGCACAAAGAGTGTGAGTGTTTAGTCGATACATGATGAATCCTGGTAAAGAGCATTGGAATGCTGTAAAGAGGATCCTAAGATACATTAAGGAAACCTCAATGTTGCATTATGTTATGGGGGATCAGATTTTATTATCAATGGATATGTTAATTCTGATTATGCAGGTGATTGTGATAATAGTAAATCCACCACAGGTTATATGTTTGCACTTACTGACGGAGCTGTAACCTGGGTTTCAAAACTACAGTCAATTGTGGCTACTTCAACAATAAAAGCAGAATATGTAACAGTTACACAAGCTATTAAAGAGGCGATATGGTTGAAGATGGTGCTGGAGAAACTCGGACATGAATAAAAGAAGACTTTTTTTATTTTGTGACAGTCAGGGTGCTTTATATTTGATAAGAAATCTAGTCTTTCATTCAAAGACAAAACAAATTCGAGTTCAATACCACTTTGTTCGTGAGAAAGTAGAAGAAGGAACAGTGGATATGCAGAAAATTCACACAAAAAACAACCTAGCAGATTACAAAAGCAGTCAATACCGATAAATTTATTTGGTGTTGATCATCTTGTGGTCAGTCAGAGATGTGAGCAACTTGAAGATGGCAAGATAGAAAGAATGGTACAAAGATATGATTGATACTCAATCAAATCTTTAAGTGGGAGATTGATGGAAAGTTGTTGTATCTACAGTAATCACCTACCTGCTACAGTAATCACCAACCACAGACCTATTAAATGTTACTGTAGTAACAGTATGCACCTACCATAAACTCACCTATATATAGCTCTCCCTAGCGATAAGTTCTAACCATCCCAGTGTCTCAAATTAAGAGTGTAAAGAAAGAGAGAGGGGAAGAGAAAGAGAGAAAAATAGAGATAGTTTCTCATTGAGAAGAGAGATTGTAACTCCTAAATTTTCCTCACAGTGGATTCTTCTATCATTGTCCGTAGTTTTTACTCTAAATTTATTTAGGGGTATTCCATATAAATCTGTGTGTTTATTTCATTACTTCTGCTCTACTATTCGCTGGGACCTTACTCTATTGGGCCCCGAGTTTGTCCTAGTATTTTTGGTACATATATATACATGAATTTTAGTGTTATTAAGGAAGAATTTAAAGTGGAGGCACTCACTAAGATTTATATTTACTATTAGGTTCAATTTCAAATTAGCATCCGTTAGTTATAGAAACAAGTAGTTACTATAAATAAATTTTAATTCTAAGAAAAATAATATTATCTAATCTAATCTAATCTAATACTATTA